TATAGTAAAGATTCAGAATGGACCTGTTTTGAGTGTCTGGTTCAGAGTCCTATGGAGTACTATTGTTTTCCTGCACGTGCAGGAACTGGCTGCTGGACTGTGGATTTTGATCTTGTGTAAATTTCCTGGAAGGGTTTGAGGTGAGAAGTTACAGAAGAGCACTGGTGTAAAGAAAAAAGGAACAACTAACTGACAGCTGTTTGTACATGACAACCTTTGCTAACTTGGTGACTTTTTCACCTGAAGGGTGGTCTGCACCCCGGAGCGCTATGGCTGTTGAGACATTCTGAAAATTGAATTTGGTCGATGATTAAAACACATTCCCTGTCTCAATATCAATGTCATTACCTTGAACATCATCTTTGAGGACAGTTGCCTTGGATAGGGACAGCTGAGACACATGGAGGCTATAGAAGCAATCACCCACTTAACATGCACTAGTCAGTCTTTGTGAAATATCACCCCTGATGCTGGGTGCTTATCTTTTATGGAACAGCTTGCAAATCCTAATTGTTTTAAACTGACTCTGAGGAAAAGAGATTTGAGAATCAATAAATCACAGCTCTCATACATACAAATGTGCCTCATTACAATGAAGACCGTCTGATGGCTCTTTAGGTCAAATAACAAAAGGGGTGGACTTAAGTTTATAAAGGCTCACTTCAACCGTCCCATTACAATACGCTGTTTTCTCCCTCTGGCGCCAGTGGCCTTGGCTACATACAAGCATTTGTTTAGATGGCATGAATGGATGAGGGTTCATTGCTTGCTCTGGTGGTTGTATGTCTTCTTTATAAGGTTCATTAAGGCAGATGCAACAATATTTATACCTTTAAGTATTGATGTGTTAGGAATGGCTAAACAGACTCATCTAAGAACTGTGCTGTCTGCTATTCAGACATGCTTTTTTTATGATTTTAAAGGCCTTTACCCAAGGTCACCCATCTTAGCCCTCTCTTGAGCCTTGGGCATGCTCAGATCTGAAAAGCAAATAGTGTTTTCTTGTCAGTTTTGTTGCACAAGGAGGTGATGGTGGGGTGGAGGAGAATAATTACAGTTTTTTCTCCAGCTGAAGGAAATGCTCTTTTCATCCTCAGACAGAATTTGAAATCAGTTTTCATAAGTCGTTCTTCAGACTTGACAGTTCATTCTTTTCTGTCATCATGTATCTTAGTGACATTTTTTTTTTTTATGATGATGAGGATGGATTTCTCATCCAATTGAATTTTTTCCTTTTTTTTTTTTTAAACAATGATGAAAATGTTCCCTGGGCCTACATGGATGTTTTTCTACTTGTTTTAATGTTTCTTTTTTCTTTCTCCTTTTTTTTTTTTTTTTTTTTTGCTTTTTCCATTTTATTATTTTATTTATTCTTTTCACATAGAATATATTCCGACAGACTGCAGTTTCCTCTCCCTCCACTCCTCTTAGCTCCCTTTCCACCTCCCCGAGATCGCCTCCTCCTCCTCCATTTCCCCTCAGAAAAGAACAGGCCTCCCAGAGATATCAACTGAACATGGAAACATGGTATAACAAATATGATGAGGCACAAACTCTCATATCAAGGCTGGATGAGGCTACCCAGCAGGAGGAAAAAGTCCCCAAGGGCAGGCTAGAGAGTCAGAGACTACCCCAAGAACATGAAGCCACACACAACCATAACACAAATGCAGAGGACCTGGTGAAGGCTCTTGTAGCCTCCATGATTGCTGCTTCAGTCCCTGTGAGCCCATATGAGCCCTGCTTAGTTGATCCTGTGGCCTGTGTTCTTATAGTGTCCTTGACCCCTCTGGTTCCTATAATCCTTCCTATTCTTCAGGGTTTCCCAAGCTTTGCCTAATGTTTTGGCTGTGGGTCTCTATATGTGCTCCCATCATTTGCTGGATGAAGCCTCTCTGACAACAGTTGGACAAGGCATTAGTCTATGAATATAGCAGAATATCTTTAGGAATCATTTAATTGACTCTTTTATTTTTAGTTTTGGCCAGTTGTGTTGGGGTTTACCCTAGGTCTCTGGGATATTGGCAGTCTTGGGCATGGACTTCCTCTCATGGAATGGCCCTCAAGTTAGACCAGTCATTGGTTGGCCACTCCCACAAATTATGTGCCACCATTACCCAGCACATCTTACAGGCAGGACAAATTGTAGGTCAAAATTGGTGTTCCAGACCCACCACTGGAAGCTTTGCCCGGTTGTAAAAGATGACCAGTTTAGGCTCCATATCCCCCATTACTAGGAGTCTTCATTAGGGTTACTCTTATAGAGTCCAGGGAGTTTTTGCTGTGCTAGGTTTCCATAGCATCCCCCAAGTGCCCGCCAATTCCAATTGTACCTCCCTGTACTGTCTCCCTCTATCCCTAAGCCTGTTCCCATCTTCACGAGCTCCCAGTCTCCCCCCAATCCCCTTGAGCAAGGATGTTACTTAGCCTCTCTGGGTCTATGGATTGTGGTGTGGTTATCCTTTACAGCCAAATACCCACTTAAAAATAAGTACAAATCATTTTTGTCTTTCTAGGTTCGGGTTACCTCACTTAGGATTATTATTATTATTTTTTTTTAGTTCTATCCATTTGCCTGCAAATTTCACGTAGTCACTTTTTTTTTTTTAAACAGCTGAATAATACTTATGTGTAAATGTACCACATTTTCTTTATTCATTCTTCAGTTGAGGGACATTAGGTCTTAATGCTTCCTTGAGCCTCAGATTGCAATACTGACTATGTGTCACTCATGAACCATTCTTAATTTATTCTCCAAAGCAGCATTTGATTGCAATAAGCAAAGTCTGTATATATTCAGGTTTTCAAACAGTCCTTTGATATGTGTGTTCATTCTGGCATTTGGATTGTATTTTTTAGTAAGCCAGTTTTTAAAATAACTATTCTTCAGCATAACTAATAGAGAGAATATACAGCACCAAAAAAGTTTCTTTTGGCTCCCAACTCATGGAAAGTGGTTCTGTGGCTGAAGTGAAATGTGGAGACAGCTCCTGTGAACTTGTTTGTTCAGCTCATCACTGGGTGAGAACTAGTGAAATGGTGTCACCTCCGTGGTCGTCAGGAACTTGGAAGTGGGGTCAGGCAGGAAAAGGAAACATGTACCAATGAAAAGAGAGCTTGGAGAATGCAGCATGTGGAGTTCATTTTCTAGCTTGTCAGCTTGTTACTTTGTTGTGCTTGAAGGTGATCTTTATATTTCTTTCTTAAGTATATATTTGTATTTTCTTTTGATTATATATTGATACAAACTCATTATTGAAAATTTGTAAAAGAGTAAATGCTTAGAAGAATATAAATTGGAGATATATTTCAGAGGGTAAATATTCTTTGGGGGAATAATTCATTTTCCCACTGCCCTCCTATTTCCTGTGCCTCAAAGTTTACATTGTGGTAATTTATATACATACCCAGAAAACATATAACTTTTATTATAAAACTGGAACTCATACTTTAGCCTTGCTTTGTCATTTAGCAAACGGTTCTTTAAGGCCATAAGTTTTAGTGGCTATTTACTGTCTCATTGTTGAGTTCCATTGTATAGTAATAGCTGTCCCACTGGGGGTTCTTTGTTTTAGCCATTCTTTTTTATTTTGAATTAACATAGTTTTCATTTTCTCTTTAGTACAACTTCACAGTAAATATCTTTATATACAAATTTTTAGTTGAATTTTGTTTAGGGGTCAGTTTTGGGTGTGTAATTCTTAGGTCAAAGGTGTGAACAGTTTTTGGCAGATAGTTGAGTGCTGATGGCCAGGCAGGTTGTATCAATTTGTATATACTCATTGGAGAGTTTAGGCGTGCTCTTTTTCTGAAACCCAGCTATCCACAGACATTATTACTTAATGGAGGCAGTAGGATAGAAAAACATCCTCATTGTCTAATTTACATGTCTTAGAGTGTTTTTGGTGAATTTTCTTTCATGATCACTCAGCGTATGTCTCAATATAAAATTACTCCGACTCTACATATTAGCTAGTTTCCCTTGGGAGAGAGATTTTTGGAGTCAGTTTTCTTTAATGCTAGTGATCTTAGGGTATAGCACAATTAAAAACTAAGTTTAAACTGTAGTGTAAAGTCATCTATTGTTAATAAAGAACACATAATTGCCACTGCTTTGTGCTTTTTGAGGGGGTGCTCAAAACTTATTTCTGCCCTCCATATATCTACCCCAGCTTTACAAAAGTGTCATTAAAATAAAATTGCATGATTTTCCTCCATTCCCCATTTTCTTTCTCTCTTCCAGCTCCCCCATGTCCTGCTCACCTCACTCCCCTTTCCTCTCAAATTTATGGTTTTCTCTTCTTTGCTGTTTCTATGCATGTGCATGTGCACGTGCGCGTGTGTAGATACATACACACACACCCCAACACCCCAACACACCACCAGCGTTTTGAGCCCAGTATTGCGTGTATATGATTTCAGGACCGACCACTTGGATTGAATAATAACTAATTAGGGAGCTTCTCCCGAGTGGAAGACTACTTTCTGCAGTCTCGGCATCCCTTAGATGGCTGTAGTTGTTTGTCTGTGTTGGGGCCCATGAGAAACCGTTTGTCCACATTAGCATGCCTGTTGTCTACCCTTGCTTTTGACACATGTGCATACCTCTTGCCAACTCCAGGGGCCAAGGTTTCTTTGTTTTCTTCCTTTCTCACCAACGTCAAGAGTTCTTTGGCCCATGATAGATCAGTGTCCTTTGGTAGGAAAGTATCAATGGCACAGTAGCTGATTTCTGTGTGGTGATACTTAGGCTTCCATTCAGGTTTGCTATGGGAGTCATTCTTAGCCTTTCAATTGTTAGAAATAGTGGAGAGACGTGCCAACTTTTTATTAGCATTGGAAATAATCTATTTATATAAGCGTAGTCTTTCTTCAGTTTACTCTTTGTGAAATTTAAATTATAAAAATTACTTAAGATAGTTGCCAAATGTTCATATGATTAAAAAAAATACACGCAATTTCTCAGGTGCTTATGTCCTTAAATGTTGATATCTTTGCAGGAGTTCCACCAGATGCAGGAGTCTGAACAGCTCTCATTGATCAAAGTTATTGAAATTAATAGCAGAACACTTAGAGCACACCTGTGAAACTCATGCTGAAAAGTGATCGTATCTTATTGAAAGTATGTAATCCTAGCCGTGGTAAGTGACAGGACTTGCTCCTTCTGTGTTACGTCATGGTAAGAAGTAATTTAACGTTTTTAATTTTATCTAGTTCCACTATGATTTCCTGTTACAGATTGTTTGCAACATAATTTGGTCGCAATGCGTGCTCTGTAAAACCATTTGAGAAACCTCTGCAGTGGTAAAGGATAAATGCACGGGATAGGGTACTCCACATGAAATCATGTTGTCTTTCCTCCTTGGAGGGATGCGGTGGAAATTACATGGAGTGGGGATGACTTAAGAGAGTCTTGGGATTGTGTTTACGATATAATGTTCTATTTCAAACCTTCCAAGCACGTTATGGTGATACTTATCACCAGTGATCAGTTCTAGATGATGTGCGTATGCATATTAAACTCTGTGTGAACTATTTTGAGTCATTTTCCCAAATGGTGAGAAAGAGCCATGGCAATTTGGCCTTTAGGTACTCTTAGTCAAGTTGAAGTTCAAATGTCTATTTACTTGAAGAGTATGATGTGCAGTATATCCAAGAAAATTAACTGTAGATGAAGATGAACGTTGTTGGCACTCTTCCAGGAATCAAGTTGTCCTAAAGATGGTTATTTTGTTTTCTGTTCCAATCAACCACTGTAATAGTAAGCACACTTCTTTCATTGTCACCTTCTTTTCCATGATGTTGTCTTAACTGACGATACAATTTTGATAAGAGATCCCAGACATAATTATTCTTTCCCTCATTTGTAAATGACAGGAAAAATTAATAAACAAAAGCCCTTTACTTGGGGGCTAGTGGTTTGATTTGTTTTCAGGATTCTTCATGAAATGTTTTCTCCTGTATCTGTTTACGGTTTTCATGTGATAAATGATGAGAGGGAGTTGAAACTATAGACACATATAGAACACAGTGTATTCTGCTACTTTGCTTATCAGTTCTTAGTAACCGTTAAGATTACTAATACATACTACGTAACAGCATTGTGTATAGTGAAAGGAACACAGTTGAAGATGGTGAAGGCTAGTGAATTGGCCCCTGCTAAGAGCACTCACTGTGTGCAGCTGGACTCATTCCTTACCTTTTAACCTCAGTGTTCTCTGTAGGTTAGGGAGTGGTTGTAGTTAATACTATTTATTATCAGTATTATTATCTATTATCTACTGGTTTGTGTGGTGCTGGCTCTACTACAAGCTTGGATCTCCAGGCCCAGCAGTGTTCATTTTATGCTATATGATTCAAATTGGGTTGTCTGTATAAACATATAAGTACTTTACATTGTAGCTGGCACTTGGAGAATACAGATTCTTTTTGCATCTACTGCTAGAGAATGACAGAAAGTACTTGAAAGAGAGTAAAAGGACACACTGAAGAAATTCATGAGAGAGAGAGATGCAGATGTGGATTTCCAAAGTCTTAAAAGCATTTCAGATCTTGCATTGGTTACTGCTGTTGTTGCTGTGACAGATAACATGACAGAAGCAGCTTAAGAGAGGAAGATGTTTTCTTCTTGGCTCGAAGTTTCACAGACTTCAGTCCGTGCTTGCTTGTCCAGAACATCTCAGTGGTGGCCACTGTGGTGGGCAGTCTCCTTCATTTCTTGGTGGACAGGGAGTAAGGAAAGAGGGAGTACAGTGGCCGAGTCCTCCAACTACGTCCTAGTTCTAACCCTTTACCACACCCAACAATGCCATTATAGTATAAGCCTATGAAGGAAGTAATCCACTAATTATTAGGTCATAATCTTACTGTGTCTAGAAATACTGTCACGGACACAACCAGAGCTTCTCTAATGCCCCAGGTAAATCACATTTATTAATCTAATCACATTTGCACTTAGGAACAACTATCATGGATATTGTGGTGTGAACTTTTTTTTTTTTTTTTTTTTGCAGAGGGTCGGGGAGGGGCGCTTAAGCAGTTGCAGCCTGGCAAAGGCAAGGCAAACAGTCCTTTCAGCAGCTGGTGTAGGAGGAAGCTGAGGGCATGGGCATGTGAGATGCAGGGTGTCTGCAGGGTGGTCAGCTGCTCGTGGTCTCAGTTTGTGTGAAGAGCTTGCATTTCTCATGAATTCTTTTTCTGAAGTGGTGAAGACAGTCTGTAATTTAATATTTAAAAAAAAATCTAAATTCACAGCAAGAGTCCTTTATCATCTCTAGAGCACTTCTAAGCTGCAATGAAAATAAAGGTCCCAGAGACTCAGAATATTCTGTCATGAAAGAAATTTCATCACACTGTACATAATAAGCCAAAAAAATGTCCATATAGAATTTAGGAATATTATAACAGTTTATATTAAAGACTGAGTTAACCATTTATTAAACAGAAGATGAAATTATTGGACTTCTACTCAGTAAGCTTTTGCTTTGCTCAATCTAGATTTCTCTGGTACTGTTTTGTTCTAGATGTGTTTCGTTTCTTTAACTTCTATTAATAATTTTTCTGAAATGATATTTTCTTGTACAAATAATTTTTCATATGAATCAAATAGACAGTTGAAGTAAAGGTGGGAGAAAAGCAAGTTTAGAGAATTTCTCACTGCTGAAAGTATATTTTGGTAGGTAGGCTTTCTTATTTTGCTGGAGATGTTGAAGCCATCATTTTTTTTTATAAATGCATTATTGTAAAATTTGTTTCTGTGTCACATTATTTGTTTAAATCTGCAATTTTTTTATATCTTTTTTTCACTTTTTTATTATTATCATTTATTACAATTTATTCAATTTGTATCCTGGCTGTGGCCCACTCCCTTGTTTCCACCCAATTCCTTTCTTTCTCCCTCCCCCCTCCCTTCCTCATCTTCTCCTATGCCCCTCCCCAAATTCTGCAAATTTTAATTGGACTGTAGGAAAGTTTTCATCCTGCCACAAACTGGAATCTTATAACGGTTCCTGCAGGGTATCTATCATATTTTTATGTTTAGATGTACATTCTTACAGCTTAGAATAGGTATAGGACTAATATTAAGAGCTGGAGTCTTTTTTTGACATGTGCGTGTGGTATATCGTGTTCACATGTGTGTGAGTACATACGAACATCTACTGGTGTACACAGAGGGCAGAGGTTGATGTCCCAGGGTCCCATGCCTTCCTCAGTTGCTCTCCACCTTATATATTGAGTTGGGGTTTCTCCAACCGAGAGCTTGCTGATCTGGCCACAGTAGCTAGCTAGCTTGCTCTGGGGATCCCCTGTTTCCCCCTACCCAGCATTTATTTTGGTGCCGGAAGTCAAAACTGAGTCACCTAAGCTCCCAAAGTGTAGGTCTTCAGAGAAAGTTTTTGTTTTGCTGTGGATGGAACTGTTGACAAGTGTTGTTAGACATTGTATGTGAAAGTATTTTTAATCCTGGCGGCAGAGCACAAATCTTAGGAAGTGGTACTTCTAGTTAATAACCCACCACAACCACCCGGGAGCAGTTTTTCTCAAGGCAGAGCAAACCACGGAAACAATTACGTGGGCAGTGAATTCCCATGTTTCCTTGTGTGTCTATTTGCTGAAAGACTATATAATAAATACTTTAAAATATCAGAAAGTAAGTTGTGGGTTCCTTCCTTCTGAGCTGTTTACTTGCTTGACACTGATTTGGATTTATTTTGAAGGATTTGTATACATCAATGGCAGAATCACCTAGCAATTCAGACCACCTCCTCTATAATGACCCATTGAGTCGATTGACAACCAGGTCAGTTCACAGGAGAGCTGGAAGTCATTCTACAATAGATGTCACTGCAAAGGTCAACACTATAACCAGTACTTTAAAGGTTGGTTTGATAGCTTTTTTTTTTTTTTAATAGTCTGAGCCTAGTAATGGTTACAGTCAGAATATTGTTTTTTTATTACCGTAATAAATGACCAACCACGTTTACTAACTCACAGTTCTGTAGGTCAGTAAAATGAGGAAACTCTGTTCCTTTGCCTTTTGTAGTTGCTCATGTCCCTGTCTTGGGCTTTTCTTCCTTTCAAAGCCAGCTGTTACAGTGGTTACATCTGCTGCATCGCTTTGGCTGGCTATGTCCTCCTTTCTGCCTTTCTTTTCCTTTTTCCCTTTTCTTTCTTTTTTTTTTTGAGACAGGGTTTTTCTGTGCTGCCTTGGCTGACCTGGACTCACTCTGTAGACTGGGGCCAATCTCAAACTCACAGAGATCCATTGGGATTACAGGCGTGCGCCACGGTGCCCACCTCCTTTTCCCTTTTTGTTGCTGATTGTATTTTTTTTTTTTTTTTTTTTGGTATACTGGGGATCCAACCCAAGGCTTTTGCACATGCTATGCAAGTGCTCCACCAGTGAGCCACATTGCCAGCCACCCTGTCTCTTTTGAGGACACATGTGATTTCATCTTGTTCTTTCAGTAATCCAGGTGAAATTCCACTCTAGGTATTTAGTCACATCTACAGAATCCCTGTTGCCATATAAGTCACATGGGCATAGTTCTACAGACCATTAGTCTGGTTACCGTAGTGATGATACCTGAACTACCCATTAGGTTACTGAGAATGTTTTGTGATGAAACTGTATCTGCAAGTAAAATATTGTGGGAGTGAAGCAGTGGCGAGCACCATGGTCTAGCCTGTGCACTTGTGCCTCTTAGAGAAGTCTGTGGGAAGCAGATTACCAGTGGATGTCTAATCTGTATAGAAATGGCGTTTTGGTTTGAAGGTAGATGCTAATAGTGTTTGGAAGTTTGAGTAGGGCAGTGTGCTCTTTTCCATTTGAAGAGCTTCAGAAGGGCATATGGCTGACAGCATGTGTACATGGGGAACAAACTTAGAAATATAATTATTTGCAGCTAATTAATCCTTTGCACATATAAACAGGGAATTTGGCTTGAGTTGTGTTAGGTTAGTATGCTAGATGGGAAGAGAGTAATTGTTGGAGAAACAATAATTGTACATAAGAGTAACAACATCTATTCTTTGTAAACTTATTTAAGCTAATGTAACCATGGAATTTTAAAGTTTGAATCTTAACCTTCTTGCCAAAGAGACACATTAGTAAGTAGGCATATTCAAAAGAAACTACTCTATAATCTCTTATGTAAAACCAAGCATATTTAGGTAGAAACTCACTGTTTTGGTTAGAAATACATTTATTGTTCATTATAAAGGGCACATTTTCTCTTCTCGTAATCAAGTTCTGTAGGGAGGAAGTCACTGGAGTATAAGACATCTAATGACTCACTCTCTTTACAAACCTGAGGGCATTTGCTTCTTCATGATTCATTTTTGTTCTTTTCTTCCCTCAACCAACCAATCTCCCTCCTTCTTTCCCTCCCTCCTTCCTTCTTTCTCTTCCTCTTTCCCTCATTGAATAAGGACATGTAAATTATATGCTTCAGATTTTGCATAAATACATTGCAGGTGGATTTGGGATTCTCTCACAGTAGTGTATTGATTGGATGTGTGAAGTACATTGCTACCTGCATTACCTGGCATATATTGTACCATTTACAAAGTTGATTTAGTTCTTTGCCAATACTAAAACTGTTTAGAAAAACAGTGTTTGGGGTGACTGCGTTTTCTCTTTCTCAAGGACACCAGTCGGAACCTGCAGCAAGTGGATCACATGCTTGGGCAATACCGAGACTATAGCATCAGACAGTCAGGTGCCATTGAGCAGGTAAGGAAGTTGCTTCAGGTGTTTACTTACCATATGGAAAGGCATATTTCGGGGAGAGGGAACTCAGTAAGACAAGTAGACGACAATATGGAAATGCCTATTTAGCGGAATGGGAATTGAGTAAAATAAGATGTGGGGCTGCATATTGAGGGGAGTGGGACTTAGGTAAATAAGTAGATAGCAATATAGAAATGCATATTTAGGGGAGCGGGAATATAAGTAAGAGAAGTAGATAATGATGTTAGTAAGTATGTATTTTAAACTGCCTTGCTGTTTTCAGTTTAAATTTGGTAAAAGAACTCAGATTTCCAACTTGGATTCAACTTAACCTCATTGATTTAGTCTTAGAAAGGACACGGACTAAATAGAGTTGCTAAACTCGGACCACAAATTCCATTCATGAAGGGAGTAGGAATTTTGAGGATGGTTTGTTTTAAAGTGACACATGTTTGTTATCATTATTTTTTAAGGTTTGTGTTTGTGAGTGTTGGTGTGCATGTATATATGTGTACCACATGCATGCAGGCCCAGGCAAGGCTAGAGGAGTCATCAGATCACCTGATGGAATTACAGGTGAATTACAGCCAGGTATTAGCACCCTCACCCTCACACTCCACTCTTGCAAGCTTCCCCACAACAGAGAAACAAACAAACAAACAAACAAACAAACAAACAAACCTTGTCGTGGAAGCTGTAAGGTGTTACAGTGTCCCATAGTACACCTCTTTGTCAACACTTCTTTGCTTGCACATGTTCATTGCAATGAGTTCTTGGTCTGTTATGAGGTCCCTGGCTTCTAATGCTCTATCAATACTGGAACCTCACTGGGACTCTTCTCTGATATCCTGTGTTGCCTTGTGTCGTGGAGATCCTGTAGTTTTGGATCTGTAGGACCAGTACTCCAGCAGTTCATCAATGGGGTAGATGTTGGGATGTGGGCCAGTTCAAAGCTCTGGTTCTAGGCCTGAGAGGAATCTGAGCTGGTCAGCCCACTGCACCCTACAACCAGCGCCAGCTCTACCCTGCTGCCTGGGCAAGGGACAGGGCCTGCACTCCTGAGTGTTACAGCCAGTGAGGGGCATGGCCAGCACTCCCACTGTTATGACCTGACCGTGGGGACAGCTCTCCTGTTTGCCATAGCTGGTGAAGGACAAAGAGGGGAGGAGGGCATCTCTCCCTTGTCCATGCTACCACACTGTAGACAAGAAGCAGGGTTGGCTCTCCTAGGCTCATACCCTCAGTATTGGCTCACCTGCAACCCCCTCATCCAGGGCCAGCTCTGCTGTATTGCCCAGGAGAGGTGTAGGGCCTGTTCTTGAGTGTTGAAGCAGGTGAAGGCAGGGCCAGCTCTCCTGCTCTCCTGACCCCAGGGCCAGCTCTCCTGCTTGCCAGAGGTGGCAAGGGGTGAGGGTAGGGGAGGACATCTCTCCCTTGCCTACTGTGCTGCACAGTTTCCATGCTCACACCCTCAGGGCTGGTTTCCTTCCAGCCCCACATCCAGAGCCCGCTTTACTCTGCTGCCCAGGTGAGATGCAGCGTAGTAGTGATTTTCACCTACTGCTTAGAAATTGTGGGGAGAGGGAAGACAGGCAGCTGAGAAAGGGTTTCTCATGAATGATTCTCGTGGCCTCTCATTGACAACTGATGTAACTTATGTACTTACAACTGCTGTTAAGTTATGTACTATGCCACTATATGGGTTACCTGGGTCTTTTTATTTATTATCTTCAAGTCCTCAAAGTACACGGTACAACTTTCCATCTTTTAAAAAGCCAAATTACTGTGTTGTGTTTGTGAATGTGTCTAACTTTGTACGAGTGAGGGTGCACTTGTGTGTGTGTGCTCATGCTTGAGGTCATCCTCGGGTGTTGTTCCTCAGGAGCTGTTTATCATTTTGAGACAATGACTCTCCCTGGGACCTGGGACTCAATGGCCGTGCTAGGCTGGCTGGACAGTGAGCCTCAGGGATTCGCCTCTCTCCATCTCTCCAGGCTGATATTACAGTTATAAGCCACCACACTTTGCTTTTTGTGTGGTTGCTGGGGTTGGACTCAGGGTCTAATGCTTGGACGGTATGCCCCTTAGCAACCAAGCTGCTTCTCCATCCTCCCTGCTCCTCCCTCCCTCTCTCTCTCTCTCTATGTCTCTTTCTCTCTGTGTGTTTAAATTACATTTTATTGGGGCTGGAGAGGAGGCTCAGTGGTTAAGAGCACTTGCTGTTACAGAGGACCTGAGTACAGGTCTCAGCATCCACATGGCAGCTCGTAACCATCTGTAACTATAGTTACAGAAGATCTGAATCCCCTTCTGGCCTTTGTAGGCACAAGGCATGTACATGGTGTATTTACCTACAGACAAAACACTCATACCCATGCAATAAAAGTAAACAAGTCTTTAAAAAGTTACATTTTATTTATACATTGTGTGTGTGCGCATGCCTGTTTTAATATGTGTGTTGAACTCAGGACAACTTGTAGATTTTCCCTTTAACTGTGGGGGGTTCCAGGGATTGACTTGGGTTATCATGCTTGGCAATAAGTGCTTTTACTGTCTGAGCTATCTCAACCCTTGGAATATACTTTTTAATTTGTATATCCTTTATAATAGAATGATATATTTTAGCCAGTGATAACTCAACTGTTAAAAAATTTCAGCATGATGAATATCAATTGCCTGCTTGAATTGTTATTTTTCTTTTAAAATATAAATTCCATTCTTAGAAAATGGAATCAACATTTTTGCCTTAGGGAAGACAGGAGCTTTTATTGTTAACTTAGATTTTATGAATGACTGTTATTGACCCTCAGCAAATGGATATATAGTTGGTATGTTTAAATACTTGTTGGTGGTTTAACTCTGTGAACATAGTTTATCAATGGTTAAAGGGAATAGTTTGGAAATATGAATATCTGCTGTGGTGTTTTTCTACTGAGTTGTTCTACTCATCAAGGGAACTACAATGATTATTCATTGTGGTCTTTTAAAGCCTACAGGTTGTGATCTTTTAGGGCCCTAAGCCTCTTTAATCAGAATATTCTGCATTTAATTATTGTTCCCTTGACTCTTTATAACCTCCAACGCTAAGCTTACTTTTTATTTCACTTTAACTTGAGTCCTTTTGTGACATTTTCACACATGGATGTATTTTGGTCATCTTTACACCATCCACCCACTACTGCCTTTATCTTCTTTTCCATTGACTCTGATCTTCTTTTCTCAAATAGCTTCCGTTCTACTTTCATGTCATTTAGTCCTTTTGAGTCTGGCTTAATTTGCTTGTCATGATGATCTCCATTTCTCTGCAAATAATATGACTTCATTTTTCTTCATGGCAGAATTTTATTCCATTGCATGCCTATATGTGTCTGCTTACATACACATTTATGATATCTGTCACATTGTCCTGATCATCTGTTGGTGGGTGCTGGGCTGGCGCCATGCTTTGGCGATCATCAGTAGTATAGATATCTAGGCTGTACAGCTATCTTTGTGGCAAGTTGCCTTTGACTCTTGTATCCAACCCCAAGTTTAATTCTTTGCTTATAACCTGTGAAGTCCTCTGAGGAGTCAAGTGGTGTAGGAGAATCACGAAGTCTTAGCAGGAACAGTGGCTAACTTTCTGTAGTCATTTTAGGGATTTTCCTATTACTTTAGGTTTTAAATGTTATTATCTTAACAATGCTACAAGAAATTGTGTTTATATTTTTATTTTTAAGATAAGAAAACTGGGTTACAGAATGGTCAGTGACTTGCCTATGGTCTTTTAAGTAACATAGTCAACAGTGACGTGTTTTAGAACCTAGCAGTAGGATTTAGCTAAGCTACTCCGATGAGCTGTCCTGGCTATTTACAATTTCACAATGCTGTTATTTTTATTTATGTGCATGTGTGTGTGTTTGTGTGTGTGTGCCTGAGGAGTTGAGAAGAATGTTGCATCCCCTGGAACTGGAGTTCTATGTGGTTATGAGCTGCCCAACATGGGTCCTGGGAGGTGAATTCCGGTTCTCTGTAAAAGCTGCTCATGCTCTTATGTTGAGCCATCTTTTTATGCTGTGACTTTATATTTCTGAAAATTAGGACCTTAAATTTAAAGTTTGGAGGATAATATGATCACACATTGAGGGACTAGATTTTGGAGACCACTTGCACTTCTTAAGAATAAGACCAATGTCATAAAGTCGTTATTACAGCTGGCACAAGGCCTAGAATGAGTGAGATGGAACCCATTTCAGAACGGAGTTGGGAAGGAGTTGGGAGTCTGAAACTCAACCAGGATGGAGGTGCTTACAAGGCAGTGGTTCTCCTCAGTGCTTCAGCAGTGGAGTAGAGTCCAGGTTACCTGTGGCAGCATTTCCTTTCCCCTTCACCACAGCAGAGGTTTTCACATGCCTTTCTTGTGTGTGTTCTGGTTGGTGGTCATATTTAGTTGTACAGTGTACCTTGGACTTCTTGGGATTCTCAGACTTTTGACCCTGAGTTATTTCTCATACTCTGAACTTCCTAGGAGCTCCGAGGACATTTTCATCACAGAGGATGAGTGAGGTTTTGTTTTAATATTTAATGTGTAGATTTAGAACATGTTTCGCTTCTCAGTGTTGGAAGAGCTATGCAGTGGATTAGCTTCCTCTCACTTCTTGAACCCTTTGTTACTGTTAGTGAAAGAACAGGGTTCTTGTCCTGTTGTAAAAATGGAACCTCAGGGCTGGAGAGATGGCTCAGTGGTTAAGAGCACTGTTTGCTCTTCCAAAGGACCTGGGTTCAATTCCCAGCACTCACATGGCGGCTCACAACTGTCTGTACAGCCAGTTCCAAGGGATCTGACACCTTCACACTAATGCACGTAAAATAAAATTAAATAAATTATTTAAAAAGAAAGGAATCTCTTGAAGGCTGTGTATTCAACATAGAGTTAATATTGCCTGCAGTAGAGATTTGGGCTCATGGTGATGAGACTAAAGTAGTTATACAGCATTAAAGTAGATCTGGGCTCATGGTGATGAGGCTAAAGTAGTTATACAGCATTAAAGTATAGTTCTTGCTTCAAACCAGCAGGTTAATTAAGTACATTTTACAGGTAAAGATGGAATAAAGACATAAAATCAAATTATGGCATGGAAGCTTGCATCAATAGGCATTTTTTTCTAATAATTTGATTAAAATATTTCTTTGGGAGTAATATGAAGTTGCCATCTGGTATGTGAATTCTCAAGAATATTAAATAAAGTCCAGGGTTTTCTTTTTATGTAATGTGTTTCACTTGTCAAAAGTACCTGGTGACACCACAGAAAGTGGTTTAAGCCAGACATTAGTCATTTGTCATGGCCCAGAAGGTTCCTCCTCCTTTCCTGGCTGATTTGCACTAATTCATTAGGTGCTTGAAGGTAAGAGCTGTCCTGTCTTTCAATAACTTAAGTAATGGTGGTCTGTAGGGAAGATATTTAATTAGTTACATTCTGTTGAGTCCACTTTATCAGTGTACTTCAGATTTTTAAATTAGGTTATTCTCTTGTTGAAAAATTTATCCCCAAGTTTCTTGTGTCTTTTTTTTCCCCTAGCAGAATGGTGAGAGGGCTTAGAGGGTAGAGGAGCTTTCCATGCAAGCATGGCAACCTGAGTTCAGTCCCTAGAACCAGAATGGTGAAAAGAGAGACCTGACTCCAGAAAGTTGTTCTCTGACCTTTGTGTGTGTGTGCTGCTATAGGCTCTACAATACACGCATCCTTGCACTTACATGTCATAAAAAATAAAACAATGCAAAAAGAATTTTCTTGAGGCTTATGGAAGAAATGTACTCTTTGGAGTTGAAATTGAAATTGAATTCTGATTTTTTTTTTTCCTTAGAAATTCCCTCAGTTACTTTGAACAAGTTAGTAAACCTTTTGGAACATAATCACGCCTACTTGATTATGCTAATATTTAAGGACTAAATAATGTTTTTGGATATTTGCTAAGTATTTAGTTGCAATTTCTTGAATTTGTCTGAAAATCCCCATTATCAAGCATTTGCTAAGCTCCTTTGAGGTTTATTTTATTTCTGGGTGTGGAGGTGTGCGCACGTACACCTCCGGCTGTCGTCCGAGGACAACTCCCAGGAGGTGGTTCTCTCCTGCCGCCTTGCACAGCCAGTGCTCTGAACTGCTGAACCGTCTCGCTACCCATCTATGGAAAGTTTGGATATTGTTCTAAAATTTATCCTGTTTCTAGAGTGATCAATTTCCAGTACCTTTTATTGTTCCTAGATTTTGAAGTGATGCTTTATTTCTTCTGTTCTGCATCTTTAAAAATATATCCTCCCAGGGGGCCTTTGGGGTAGGGTGGGATAGCCTTCCCCAGCTGAGGGTCATTGCTGACAAGGTTGCCCAGGGAGGAGATAGGGATTCGGCAAGAAGAGAGAGGAGTGAGTTAGGTGATGGTCAGGGGAGCCTTGCAGCTCTTGCTTCTTTATTTATTTGTTTCTCAAAATAAAGACAGATTAATGCTTATCCAAAACGTATGGATTATTTGTTTGATTTTTGAATTTATTTTTTAAAAATTTATTCACTTTATATGCCCATTGTAGCTCCTTCCCTCATCTCCTCCTGGTTCCACCCACTTCCGTCTTTCCCCCATTCCCCTCCCCTATTTTTCAGAAAGGGGAAGCCCTACTCCCCTACCATCTGACCCCAACCTATCAAGTCTCATCAGGACTGCCTGCATCTTCTTCCTCTCCCCTGACTAGGGAGAAGTGATTAAAGAGCAGGCAACAGAGTCCATGTCAGAGACAGCCCCTGCTCCCCTTATGCCCTGGAGATCATTAAGTACAGAGAAGGCACATTGCTAGATGAGGCCATTACTCGAGGAATCTCCTTGGGGTGTCTGCTCCTGAGCAAACTCAAACAGTATAATTGGTGCAGCGTAAACAGAGACAATTCACAAACTGACTGGCTGGAGAATAGGTTACAGATTCAAGGTCACTTTTTGTTATAGACTTAGTAACTCTCTGAAAATGTAGCTTAAAGATAGGGGATCATAAAGGGTACAAAAAGAAGGCCCAAGAAAATATAAAATATGACTTAATGATCAGTCTCCAGGGCATAAGGAAAGCACATGGAGACTGAGTCTATGGGCTATATCTGAGCAGTGGTTATAAGTCCTCTTCATGCATGATCCTTGGTTGGAGCATCAGTCTCTGCAGACCCCATGGGCCCTGATTTGTTGGTTCTGTTGCTCTCCTTGTGGAGCTCCTGTTCCCTCCAGGTCTTTCTAGCTCCCTCTTCTTCCTTTAAGATTCCCTGCACACTGCCCAAAGTTTGGCTGTGAGTCTCAGCTTCTGCTTCCATCCCTACTGGGTAGTCCTAAAGAACCTAAACAACAAGAAGGACCCTAGGGAAGAGGCTTAATCCTCATTCACAAGGGCAAACAGCATAGACATCAGAAGTAGAAGACAGTGAACAGACAGGAGCCTTCCACAGAGGGACTTGTTCTTGTTTTTTATTTTTTTATTTTTTTATTTTTTATTACATGTCCAGGGTTACAGGTTCAGTCACAATTAGAAAACACAAACAGAAAAGATTTTACTATTATTTGTATTCCTATAACTCCAATTTAAAGAATCTAAAGAATGTCTCTCCAAAGCAAACACATTTATATATGACAGCTTGCTTTTAGACTGTCAGCATTTGTAGTTTGAGAGCACTCTAGACAAAAAGAAAGTATCTGTACTGGTCTTTTTATGAATAGCAAATACCAATACCTAACTTCTTTCACTATATGTTTCGTCATCCACACTATAAAGTAGAAAAGTTTACTTTAGTCAATCTATCTTATTTACTGAGTTCTGTTCCTCCAGGGCTGTACCTTTTCTGAATGTGTACCACTGAAATAATAATGAATCCCAGGCATGGTGGCTCACACTTGTAGCTCTTTAAGTGCTCCAGGTGTTCATATGTGTGCGCGTGCGAGCGTGGGTTCCTTAACACCACCAGTCCCTGGTATGTGCTGATGTTTGTTCTCACAGAGAGTGGATGTGGGGTTCTGGTGCTGCTTGGTGTTCACCTTGTTGTAACAGCCTCAGTCTTTTCAGTAACTGTTCCTGGCCCAGCCTTACAGGTTTGGGCTTTCTGACAGAATGTTTAGAAGAATGCTTTTTCTTTTCCTTCCAGTGTGTTGGCTGGCCTTGTTATGTTTCTCCACCTATGTGAGTTAGCCATTTCAGTCTAGTCTTCAAGACCTTAAACAAGGTGGGGCGCCTCTTTCTGGCAATAGGAAGATGGGATAAGGTAGTGCTAGATACCATGATAAGCCAGACCTTAGCATTTGTTCTTCAAATACCTATGTTTATTAATTTTTCTATTTCCTAACATGACTCAATTCAAAATTCCTCTGATAGCAATTTCTTTTTTCAGGAAGTCATATTTCAGAAACAGTTACTTAAGAACAATAACTCTTCAGTGTTTTCTTCAGTTAAAGGAAAATTTGGAGCAGTCCATAAGCCAACTGAGGAGTCAGCGCTTACAGAGAAACTCAGGAGGGAGAAGTGTTTCTGTCATCAGCCTGAGTGCAAGCGACCTTGATAGTGGCACTGTGACAGGTAAGCACTTCATGTGTTCTAAAAGCCTTTTTTCCTTTTTAACTTTCAAAACTATTTCTGAATACAAACCAAATGCAAATGCATTTAATTCTTAAAGAGATACAGTGTATGTACAAGATTGTAAACACGTATATTATATACATATACAAGGTCAGTACATGCAGTTGTTGGACAGTGTGGTGGGTTTTGTTTATTTACTTTTTTGTTTGTTTTTTGGTTTTTCAAGACAGAGTTTCTCCACGTAGCCTTGGCTGTCCTGGACTTGCTTTGTAGACCAGGCTGGCCTTGAACTCACAGAGAGCCACCTGTCTCTGCCTCCCAAGTGCTGGGATTATAGGCGTGTGCCACTGCACTCGGCTAGTAGTGCATATTTTTTACAAAGGGCTTTTGATAGTCTGGGTTGGTGAGTTTTATTTTTCTCAGACTCTGTAGCTTTACTCAATACAGCCTCAGTTTTAATTGCTGCCCAAGCTTCAAAACAAATCCAGTTTACCTTGTGGTATGTTTTCTTTCTGATCTTGTCCTGGCATAGTAGTTTTTAAAATTTATGATTATCAACTATGCTGTAACTCACGTTAAAAGCAGGTAGATTTTATTTTTAGCCTTGGTGTTGAGCTAGATGCCAATGGTTGGGTTAAAAGTTATTAAACACTGTTTGCTTATAATTAATCTCATATTTCCTTGTGCTGAGAATCATATTTGAAAATGTACAGTGATGGGAGTGATTTAATTAGATGAATATTGGCACCTTGAGTTGTGAATACTGCTATGACTCATAGTAGCAATTAAAATTAGACACTATTGTTTATTTTTTATGTAGTCTGTCTATTGATTGCTATGCAGTATTTTGTCTTTAGATTAATTGACTTAATATTTGTAGGATTTGATTTTATTAGTGGGATGTTTTAGGGGAAAAATAAAGATTATAAGTATTTAATAATTATTTTATGTAGGAGAAAATAATGTTGATGCTTGGGACAGTGTTAAAAATTGGACCCTTTGGCATGTTCTGTTTTCAGGCTATGTTTGTTGTTCATTTTGTCTGCCTTAAGAGCAATGTTGTGATCTTTGTGGCTACAGCATGTTACTTGGGAGCTCTAGGCTAAGAGTACCTGCATATCTCTATGTCTGGTCAGCAGGTATCAAGTGGAATTTTAGATTATTCTCATGCAGTGTTTTAATGCCCCCCCCCCTTTTCTTTTTACATTGGAAAGAGAGTCTCCGCTTTACACCTACTTCACCTCTGAAGGACTATGATCCACAGGGTCTTAAACGAAACAGATCCAGAACTGGTATTCGGTTTGTTCAGGAGAAAGACAACACCGTCCAGGTACTTTGTAACATTGTGTAGTTTATCTGTCACATCCTGTGTTTCTATATAAATGACTGACACTAGTGGGCATATCTTAACTAAGAATTTGATCATCAATATCTTTGCATTGATTTTTTTTCTTTTTAAGCCAAAGATATTTTATTTTTAATGTACAAATACTATTGTATTCTTTAAGCTTGAGAGGAGTTCTCCAGTGCAGACAAGTCCCATATACCCTTCCTTTATGCCTGGTCTTTTGCCCTTGTCCCTACCAGGAAAATGTTTCTTACAATTTAGGAATATATTTTCAGTCTACAAATCTGTATCATACATCTATTTTGAAAAAAAAAAAAAAAAGAAAAAAAGAAATAGAAATGATCAAAAAATATTTTTAAAAAGGTCAACAGCCTTAGCTGTAAGGGGAACTGCAAATTAAAGCTGCTTTGAGAGTTTAGTTTTATCCCAGCCAGAGTGGTTAGATCAAAGAAACAAATGACAACAAATTCATAGTATCCAGGAATGGAAACAATCTAGATGGATGAGTGGATGATGAATGTGGTACATGTAGTAGTAGAATATTATTCAGCCATAAAGAAAATTGAAATTAACAGATAAATTGAATTGAAACAATCATTCTGAATAAGGCAACCCAGATCCTCAAAGAAACTGTTTGTTCTCTGTCATATATTGGTGCTATCGTTGAATCTTTAGATCTTTAGATTTGTGTGTTTTTTCCTGTTGTTTTGATGTTGGTAGTGGTGGTGTTAGTGTGTGAATATGTGTGAGTGTGTGTGTGTGCTTCTCTTGGTTTTGCTGGTGTGAAATTATTTCCTGTGGGGTTTTTTTTTTGGGGGGGTGTAAACCAAGTTAACCTCCTTGGATTGGCATTTTTCTATTAGTATCTTCTATAGGTCTGGATTTGTGGATAGATATTGTTTAGATTTGGTGAGTCTGCAAGACATTTGTCTAGGCCGTGCTGGCTTTTAGAGCCCATGTTGAGAAGGCGGGTGTAATTTTCATCTATCTGCCTTTATATGTTAGTTGGCCTTTTTCTCTTGCAGCTTAAAATCTTCTTTCTTTGTTCTATACATTTAGTGTTTTAATCATTATGTAATGGGGGGGACTTTCTTTTTTGGTCCAATTTATTTGGCAGTCTGTAAGCTTCTTGTATGTTTATAGGCATCTCTTTAATTTAGGCTAGGGAAATTTTCTTCTATGATTTTTGTTGAAAATATTTTCTGGGCCTTTGAGCTGAGAATCTTCTGCTTCTTTTATTCCTGTTATTCTTAGGTTTGGTCTTTTTGTAGTGTCCCAAATTTCCTGGATGTTTTATGTCAGAAACTTTTTAGATTTAACATTTCTTTTCTCCAATGTATCATTTTCTTCTGTCGTATCGTCTATGTGTGAGATTCTCTCTTCCATCTCTTATATTCTGTTGGTGATGCTTGTGCCTGTAGTTACTGTTCACTCACCTACATTTTCCATCTCCAGGATTCCCTCAGTTTGTGTTTTCTTTATGGCTTATATATTCATTTCCTTCACTTGTTTGTCTTTTTCTGGATTTCTTTAAGAGATTTATTCATTTCCCCTTTAAGGGCCTCTGTTATCCTCGTAAGATTGGATTTAAGGCCATTTTCTTTTGCTTAGCTGTGTTGGAATATCTAGGGATTGTTATAGCAGGATAGCTGGGCTCTGTGGTCCCATATTGCTCTGGCTCTTGTTGATTGTGTTCTTATGTTGGCCTCTGGTCATCTGAGTTTAGGATTATTATAGGTTTAGGGCCTGATTTCTGAGTTTATCTTTTTTAGATGGATGTTTTTTTCTCTTGGTTTCTGTTTCCTTTCTGGTCTTCTAGGCTGAGTGGCCTGGGCCTCTGGTGACCAGTGAGTCTTCAGGTCTAGTATTGTGTCTCCACTGTTTTTTTTTTTTTTTTTAAGACAGAGTTCTGTGTCATGTTGACTGTCCTAGACTCGTTTTATAGATCAGGCTGGCCTTGAACTCACAGCGATCCACCTGTCGCTGATTCTCCAGGTCCTGGGATTACAGGAGTGCACCCTGGCACCAGGCTTCCACTGGGGGTTTTTCACCCTGTGTGTTCTCTGGGATTTTAGGTGCCATTGTTGCCCCTGGGGTTCCAGGTACTTGAGTGACTCTGTGGTTCTGGGTACCTGCTTGGTCTCTGGGGTTTCTAGTATGACATGGCCTCCAATCAAGCAGAAGTCATCTGCCAAAGTTGTGAATCGGAGTATGGAGCCCAGGGGAGGAGGTGCTGTTGGGGCCTGTTGGGTGGGCCTTAAGGACTATTAACAGATGGAGGGCTGTATCTTATCTGGAGTTCCTAGTATTAGTGTGGCCTCTGGTAAAACAAGAAGCCTTCTGCCAGAATTGTGGGCTGGAATATGGAGCGCAGTGGAGGGGGCCTGTTGGGGCTGTTGGGTGGACTTTAAGGATGGTTAGTGGGCAGTGAACAGTGTCTTGCCAGAGCTGGATATGTGTGTTTCGATTGTAGTGAATACACAGAAGTGAGGAAACTAGTAAAACTAGTAAGAAGCCATGTGGTAGTAAGTGGATTGAATGTGAGGTAGGGGAATAGAAGAATGTAGGTGGTATGAGCTAGGAGAGGAAAGTAGTAAAACAAAGGGTTAAATGGGCTATTGGGAGGGCTGGGTAGAAGAGAGTATGGGGGAGGAAAACTAATACTGAAGGCATTTGAAAAAGCCATGCAGAAACCTACTACTACAGAAGCTTCCTAAAAATATGCACACACACACCGAGTTCTAGTATAGTTACCTTATAACGGGGACAGTGATTCTTCCAGATTTCATAGGCTGCCAAATAAAAACTGCTAAGTCCCAGGTTTGGGCTACCTTTTTTTTTGAGCTGTTTGTCAGTGTTGTCCCATAATATTTTCCCACTGCCCCAACTTACAAACTAGTACCATTACTCTTAGTTATGCTTGAGATTGGACAGGGAGAGATTAAAAACTAGTGTATTCACACTAGCTGAGAAATGGAGAAATAGTTCTCATCTGAAAATTTCATCTCTACTTGTTAGCTTTTATAGTTCTAGGAAGGTCTATATATGGTACCAGGGGAGAAAAATAATCAACAGTCTTACTCAGCTGTGGACTCTGAAAGCTATAATAACAACTGGCCTGGGAAAATGACCCACTGGGGCAATAGTGACACCAGTGTCAGAGCAGTGATCCATCACTTTCCAGTTGGGTTTAAAACCTGTTCCACAAGATGGAGTCATGTCTGGTACCATGAACTGAGCCAAAATCACATGACCACCTATGTCTCGTAAATGGACAGAGAAAGAACCTGTCACTCGTTCCCCCAAGGTTGTGTATCCATTAACCCTTAAATCTGTTGAATAGAGCATACTTCAACCCTCGTCAGAGAGGCCTTTTTTCTTTCTTTTTTGTAGTCAGTGATTTTTGAATACAGAGACCTAGAGATGGTCAATGTGCATATAATGAGGCTGGAATACTCAGCTCTAAATGGGGCATCTATATCTTACACTCCCCTGCCAAGGCTCCGGGATCATTATGGTAACAGTAGTGGAAAGCTTGTCAGAGCCTGAGGTAGTAGGCATATGCAGCAACAAAGTATTTGGCAGGCATGACAAGGCAGTTGCACACACAACATCACAGCAGCTATTCTAAAGAGCTATACAAGATCAAGCCAGTCAAAGTCCCAGCATAGAAGGGGAGAGGCTCATGAAGCCCCACCCCTATCTGAGGAGCTGTTGGCAGTGTGACACCTTTTTTTTTTTTTTTTTTTTTTTTTTTTTTTTTTATATGAATGAATCCCTGAAAGGCTATACATTCTCTAGACCCATGCCTATACAGCACTAGGTATACTTAGTAGGTTTAAAAACAAAGTACATGGAATTGGGAGGGACAAATGATGGTGGCTTTGACCCAGATGTATTATATACATGTATGGAACTTTCAAACAATAAAAAAATAAAAAATAAAAATAAAAATGAGTGTCTTAGGGTTACTGTTGCTGTGATGAAACACCATGACCAAAGCAACTTGGGAAAAAAAGGATTTGTTTGACTTAAATGTTCATATCAGTGTTCATCATCAAAGGAGGTCAGGACAGACACTCAAACAGGGCAGAATCTGGAAGCAAGAACTGATGCAGAGGCCATGGAGGGGTGCTGCTTACTGCTTGTTCCTCATGGCTTTCTTTGCCCACTTTTTTAAAGAACCCAGGACCACCAGCTCAGGGATTGCACCATTCATAATGGGCTGGGCCTTCCCTCATTAATCACTAATTAAGAAAGTGCCCTAGAGCCAGATATAATGGAGGATCTTCTTTTTCCAATTGAGGTTCCTTCCTTTCAGATAACTCTTGTATCAAGTTGACAGTACTAGCTCGTACATTGAGTTCATTTCCCGTGCAGGTGATTCATTCTTGAGAAAGCCCTGCTAAGTTAGCTGCTGTTTTGCCAAGTTGGTCCAGATTTGAACAAATTCATCAGTTACACACAGTAAAGATAGCCTCTGAGGCACCAATAATAAACACTTCCCTTGGGTTAATTTGGCCAAGGGTGAGCCCATGTTTGAATCCTCCACGTCTCTCCTCGTGCCTTCTGTCTGTACAGTTGTGATTTCTGGCCAGTCTGTAGTTTGTCTGTTATATATAACTTATATGTCCCTGTCACTTGTCTGTCCCTAACAAAGGGCTTTGCTCTGTATGTAGTATACAGTACAGAAAAATTTGTGCAGGAATGAGGAATACTTTACAGAAATCTTTTCTTCCCCCAAGATAGGTTTTTTTCTGTGTAGCCCTGCTCTGTAGACCAAGCTGTCCTCAAACTCACAGATATCCACTTGCCTCGGCTTTTTGAGTGTTGGGATTAAAAGCATGAACCACCCCTGCCTGGAACAGTTTTGCAAGGGATTAAGTCATTGACTAAAATTGACCTCAGCTGATCCTAAAGAAGTCAGTACCACTGCAAAATGCCATTATCAAGCAGTATGCTGTTTCCAATATTTGTGCAGGTATTTGTCATGTAAGGTTGGTTTTGACCTCTTTTCTGTTTTCCACAAATGATTAGCATACACACACATATACAGACAGACATGCATTATTCTCTGGGTCAAGGATGTGGAAGAAAACATAACTTAAGATGAAAGCTATAGATTATGTGGGAAATTCAAGGAAAGTAAGGTTGATTATTTTCATTGTTCCCTTAAAGACAGGTTACACAAGGAGGCTGAGTACACAGCGGATGTCTGGTTGGTTTTCTTGAGAGTGACCCAAACCTAGACATATCTGGGAAGAGGAAATCTCAGTTAAGAAATGCCTCCATAAGACTGGCCTGTAAGCAAGCATGGAAGGGCCCATTCACTGTAGGCGATGCCTTCCCTCAGAGGTACTCCCAGATGGCGTGAGAATGTAGCAAGCCATGAGGGGCAAGCCAGTGGGCACTATTTTGTATCGTCTCCGCATCAGCTGCAGTCATGGCCTGACTCCCTTTGGGCAATGGACTACAAGGTGAAATAAACTTTACCCTTTGGTTGCGGCAATAGAAACCCTAATTAAAACAGAAAGATATCAGGTCTTAAGTGTCCTCAAGGTATATTATTAACTCAGCTGTGCGGACCAGCTAAAGTTTCAGTCTCTTTGCTTATGAGTTATTTTTATAAAAGAGTATCACCTCATTTGTATGGTTGATTGACTGATTTGTTTCTACTATTGATGTTATTGGATTGTTGAGTAATTGATGGAACTACTGGAACTACTTTATATTAAGACATTTGAAAAGGTGTTCCCCAAAGAGTGTTGTTTGGAGTGCCCATCACTGTTGCCCCAAGTGCATGTTCCTCTCTGGCCAGCCCACATGCTGCTGCCTCCGGGCAGAAAATGGGTGGAACCTGGGAGTCTCAGGTTCCCTTCTCTCAAGATGTAGGCAGATGCCCGAGCCTTGTGGGCTCATGGCCGGAACACAGGTCCTGCCAGCCGCTTAGTTGGCAGTCAGCGCCTCACCTCCTCTCCCTGGCTAGCAGCGAGGCCCTGGGCATCCATCAGTGAATCTTCAGGGAGGAGGTGAGCTCATCCTTCCCCAGAAGGTAATCATGGTGGAGGAATGGATTGAGAGAGAGAGAGAGAGAGAAAGAGAGACAGAGAGAGAGAAAGAGAGGGAGAGAGAGAGAGAGAGAACAAGTGAGTGATTTTGTAAATCAGGGACATTATAAACCTTGGGCAGTAGGAGGAGTTTTGAGGGTGAATGCGCTTGATTTGCTGGGGCTAAGGGTGCTAGGGATACTTCATTTGTATGCATTGGTACAGTGCTGTCATAAGAAGGCGTACACAGCACTTAATTATCCTATGGGTGGGAAGGGCTAAATAAAAGTTATGTGCTGAAAGCCAAGGTCTCATTAGCATAGGGTGGATGTTTCCAGGAATCCCCAGGTGCACACTGAATAGGTTTCTTATCAGAAAAGGATCGGGCCTGTAATTTTCACTGAGAGCTGTAAGAGTCTCCTTAGAGTATCTGGGGTTTGTTTCCCCAGATCACGGGGAGAGGAGGAAACCCTGACAAGGAACGGAGTCCATTAGTGTCCATTAGTTTTGCACAGAACTCAGGGGCTATCTGGTAATGCCAGACTTCTACCTTAGCAGCAGTGTCCAATAAAAGAGTTTTGAAGCAGTAAGTTTCTATCATCTATAGTGTATTTCTTTCTCTTCTTCTTAAAGTTCGTTTTTTTGTTTTTTTTTTTTTGTTTTTGTTTTTGTTTTTTCTTTCCAGAGCTGAGTTTTTCCTTGATTGCCTTAGGTAGCTAAATTAATTAGAAAAGGGATAAGAGCAGCTTCAGCTTAGGCATGCTTGTGTTGATAGTTTCAGGGTTGGGTGCACAAAGGTGGTTTCAGGATACTCATCTGAGGCCATTGCTTGCTGCAGCATAATAGAAAACAGATCAAAGGCCTTAGAAAACACCTTGTAGGAATTTCCCCGTGACTGTAGTATTTTTTGATAAGTATAACTTGCTAGTATAGACTGTAGGGTTAAACAGCAGAGAGGACTGTTTTAACGTTACTCATTTATTTTTCACTTTCTGTACTTAGTTCTTTTGATTTTGGGAAAGTGTTTATACTTAGAATCAATAATGAGCAAAACCCTTTCCTTTCCATTGAGTCTATATTCTGGATTGGGGTAGCTAGATATTGATTAAGTAAGTACATTAGTGATATGACTCGAGATGCACACTAGCATGGAAAGAAACACATGCCGTGGGGCAGAAGGTGTGGTGGACATGTGCCCTCTTTCAGTCATAGAAAGCTTTGAAGAAAGGCTGAGTGAGTGGAGGTCTGAAAACGGATAGAGTCCTCTGAGCTACGACACTTAGCTTGGCAAGAGGGAAGACAGCACTTCTGGGCGCTTTAAGGCATGCCACACGCAGAAAGATGAACGAGAGCTGAGGACCAGTCTGTTTCAACTGCAGAAATTTGTGGACACATGAATTAGGGCCGTGTGTTCTGATGTGAAGTGATGGTCATTTGGATTAAGATATAAGGATTTGGAGAGGAAGAAGTAGATTTTAAAGCTCTTAAACGGATACAATTGATAGGTGTTGAAGGTTAGATTGCTGATGGGGAAGGCAGGGATCCTCAGGTTCTGTCTCACAAGTTGGGAGTTTACTACCTCCTGATGGCGAAGCTAAGTGGACTCTGTAGTTCATCTGCTTCACTTCTCCTTTTTCGTTTATCCCTAAGCCTGTTTGTCTCTTCTTAACTGTGTGTGCTCCGAATGTTCCAATGAAAATTTAATGCTCTGTTTATATGCTTTTCTCTCACATTAGCTTGTCATATGCCTATTTCCCAGCAGCTTTCTGGCACTTATTAGCTGTCCAATGAACATTTATTGAAATGAATGTTTCTTGTTTTAGTAAATCTTTGTAACTTAAAATTATTTTATTGTAAATGGTAGCACACATACACATGTAAAGTGTATATATTTATGTCTAAGGCACAATAGATTGAATGCCATGTATTCACCACCAAGGACAAGAAAATAGACTGTTTACCCTCCTAAGCGTCTCTTAGGCTCCTTCTTTCAGGTATGGGTATACCCTGTCCTGACTTTAAAAACAACAAAAAAGTTTTTTTAAAAACAGTATTATGTATGTGGGTGTTTTGTCTGCATGTATGTCTGTACAACATGTGCATGCTTGGTGCCCACATAGGCAAAAAAAAAAAAAAAAAAAAAAAAAAGACATATGATCCCCTGAAACTGGTGGTTTTAAGTCATTATGCTATTGTCTGAAATTGAACTCAGGTCCTCTGGAGGAGCAGCCAGTGCTCCTAACTGCTGAGCCATCTCTTCAGCCTTATCCTGACTTCCATTCATTATTTCTTTGCTTTAAAGAATGTCTTGGCTGTGTTTGATTGCTTGTTGCCTCCTACAACTGTGTATAAACTGAATAGTATCGTACATCATCATGCTTTGCCATCCAGTCTTCTTAATTTGTAGTTGTTTTGATAGCATTTGCACTTCTGGGTGATCTCAAAGAATACATGTGAAATATTCTGTTCTGCTCTTGATGGACTATGGGGCCGAATCTAGCATTCTTGTTAGGAATAATGTGGTGCATGCTTTATTATACGTGGTTCCTCATGTGTAAGTAATAGTGTCTTGACAAGTGATGTTGGCCAACTAGGTGTGTGGGCTGCTGTGATGAAGATTTATTGTAATACAGCATGTTCATTTGCTATGGTTAGTTCTGCACTTCAGTGGCAGGAATGACAGTGACCACAGAACTTGTAGTTCTGAAATACTCGACATCTCTAGACTATACATAAGGAGTGAAATTGCTGTGCTAGGGGGAGTATGATGGCCACTGTTAGACTGACCTTTGAGAGGCATGTCCTAATGACAAGTGTTTATTGATTACTGATGATGGTGGCAAATTTGGTTATTTTTCTAGGAGTTCTTACTATGATTGGTTCATTATGGGAGAACTAGCAGAACCCTAAGAAGCCAAATGTGCTTTGCTTTTGTAGCTCCATGCTTTTCACCAGTCCCTCCGAGACCTCAGCAGTGAACAAGCTCGGCTTGGAGATGATTTCAACAGGGAGTTTTCCAGAAGAAACCGGTAAAATGGGGACAGATTTTTCCTTGGGCACAATAGATTATTATCCAGAGAATATATTCATTTTGTAATTGACATGTTTATATAGATTAAGAAAATAATATTGGGCTTTTATATGAGTATTTTAAAATTTATTTTTGTGTGTGTTTATATGCACCTGTACATGTATGTTCCTGTACGTTCAGATATGTGTGTGTGAAAATGGAGGCTGTAGGTCAAACCTGGGTGTTCTTAGGAGCCATCAGCCTTATTTTTAGGAGACTATTTTCATTTAATTGTATGTGTGTATGTCTTGTTCATTTATGTGCTTGGTGTGTGTGTCTGTTTGTCTGTTTGGAGGCCAGAAGAGGTGCCTGATCTCCTGGAGCTGGAGTTACAGGCAGTTGTGAGTGGCCTGGCCCGGTCTTCTACAAGAACAAAAATGCTCTTAATCACTGAACCATCTCTTCATCCTGGTACCCTAATTTTGGAGATAGTTTCTCCCACTAGGGCCTGATGTTCACTGCTTAGGCTAGGGTACTTGGCCAGCAATTTCTAGGGGTTTTCCTGTCATTATATGCCAAGTGCTAGGATAACAAGCACGTGTTACTGTGCCCAGCTTTTTACGCAGGTGCTAGGGAATGATACAGGTCATTGTGGTTGTGTGAGTAGCATTTTAGCAACTGAACTATGCCCTACTCTAATATTTATTAATAGAACAGTTCAAAACCCTTTGATTTTTTTTTTTTTCTGTGTAGCCTTGGCTGTCCTGGACTTACTTTGTAGACTAGGCTGGGTTCGAACATACAGTGATCCACCTGCCTCTGCTTCCCTGAGTGCTGGAATTATAGGCGTGCACAACTGTACCCAGCTTCAAAGTCCTTTGAATGTATGGCTTATCATGACTCACTGATTCGTGCTGCAGTGAGTTCAAACTCTAGCTGTCAAATATATCCAGCATAGTCTATGCAACTTACCTGACTTTAGAGGAGGAAAGCAGGAAAGTTGGTTGTAAGAAAGAAAGAAATTTCAGATTTATGTAAATATGTTTACTTAATAGAATGCTATTATAATGAGATACATTATGAGAGACATTAGCAAAGAAGATGTCCTTTAATATTTGAGGGAGAGAGAGGAGACAGACACACAGACAGACATAGAGACTACCTAGTTTGTTTACTGACTCTTACAGTTCAAGGAAAAAAAATAGAACATGAAACTTGTCTGTGCATAGAAACAAGCCATTTAGAATCTCATATCTTAGACTGCTTGCAATCTTTGAAAGCCTGGAGTTAAACAGCCCCTGCCTTTGTACTTTGCCAGTTTTCGAGAGTTCCCAAAAGCCATCACGGAATACAAGAATTCCTCACTCTTTCATTTTTTGTCATTGAAACTAACAATTGCTTTATTTTGAAGGTCATTTTTTAAAAATAAATTATGGTTTTTGTATTTTTTAAGAGTTAAATTCTAGGGCGGTTGAGATGACTCAGTACAGTGCATAAAGGCCTGAGTCCTGTCCCCAAATGGCGAAAGGCGAGAACCCAGTCCTACAAGTGTCTCTGATCTCCATGATGCATGTGCTTTTACTTCTAATAAATAAGCAATCAAGAAGAAGTAAAGTTTATATACATTAAAGGTTAGGGAGTGAGAAAAGTCAGTTGAAATTTGTTTTCCATGTTTTTTGCTGATTCCAGCTAAATTCTATCACATACCAGTTCAGCACTGTGTCAGCGAGTTCAAACTCTAGCTGTGAGGTGTGTCAAGTGCCGTCAGTGCAACCTCCCTGATTTTAGAAGAGGAGGACAGAGAAGCTGGAACTAAAAACAAGACCCTGCCATCGTTTTTAGCTATCCTAAGCTGACACAGGTTTTTTTTGTTTGTTTGTTTGTTTTGGTTTTTTTTTTTTTTGCAATAACTATGACATAGTTATGATTTTCTCCATTTAATGGCCTAGGAAATGGGCGTGTTGAGATCAAATCACTGTTTGCTGGAGAAGGAAAATGAAAAATGTACTGAGGTCAGAATTCAATCCTAGGCAATAGGACCCCAGAGCTTTTGCCCTTTACCACATATAATGCACTGTGGTTCAAGATCATTTTCACATGGATGTGCATGAAACATTTATATTACTGAATTGTGAGCTTGATTACTGATAAGACAGACAACCAAATGCTTGTATTTCTTCTGGCAAGGTGATAAAATGAACAAAAAGCATTGTTCTTAATCTGAAATGATTTTACTCTATAGAATTTATGCATTTGGAGCAAGGGTGTAAGCTATGCACTGGGTACATGAGTTTGAGGAAATGTTGTTTTGGAAGTAGATCCTGGAGAAGTTGCAGAGATGAGTTATGTGGTTATGTGGTACTAGTAAGTGCAGTTTTGTCCTGTGTCTCTCCTGAGCTATTGACTGTATCATTTGGGAAGTGTCTTGTCATTTGGAGGCACAGGTGAGGCAGAGAAACTTTATTTAATCTCTGGTAGGAATCAGACTTATTCATTTATTTATATTTATATTTATTTATTTGTGAAATGAGATGACATTGCATTGTGAAGGGGTAATATTGAATACTTTTCTTATATCACAAATTATATTCATGTTTCTAAACATACTGGATAGGAAAGAATTTGATTGAGAAGTGTTGGGATTCTCATTTAACTTAATTAAATTAATTTATCTTTAGAGACAGGCTCTCACGATGTAACTCTGGCTGTCCTGGAACTCTGTATAGACTAGATGGGCCTTGAACTCAGAGACCCACCTGCCCCTGCCTCCTGAGTGCTGGAGTTAAAGATGTGTGCCACCACACTTGTTTAATTTTTTGCTTTTTTACATTTCACAAATCTATCGAGTTATGAAAATACAGGGGAGTGAGCTTTTAGAAAGGACTAAATTGGACACTGGAGAACTGATTTGAGAAATGTTAATTGGAAGTCTGTTGCATTAGTGGATGGGAACTGGTGATGGCTTGAACAGGTACATGACAAGAGAGGAAGGGACAGAAGTCTGTTTCAGAATGTGTTTTTAGAGACCAAAGAGTCAGGATTTGGTAATGGATTGCATATGAAGGATGTATATCAAGGGTGACTCATGGATTTCTATTTGAGAAACTAAGTAACAGTTCTCTTTTACGATATATGAGAGATTGGTTGAGGGAGCTGAGGGGTAGAAATCAAGAGGCTTTCGTGGATATGTTAGATTTGAAACACCTGTGAGACCTTCAAGTGGAAATGTAAAATAGTCATTCCTTAGGCTTAGGCTAAGAGAAAAAAAAAAAAAAGTCCATGTTAGATTTTTGAGTTTCAGGAGTGCTTCAAGAGTGCTTGGTGTGTAAAAGTGCTGTGGTAATGGGTGATTTAAAGAGAAAAGCTATAGAAAGAGCATCAAGGACAGAGCTGAGTACTGAAGAGGTCAGGTATGTAGGAGTCTTGTCTGTGATGTGGACCTCACTTGAGAGGTCAGATGGTAAGATTTGGGGATCCCAGGAGAGTGTGGAGATCTAAAAGTCAAGAGGGAGAAAAAAAACAACACATTCGCCTTGAGAGATCCACAGCCCAGAAGGTACCACTCTCTGGGAAATTTTTTAAATAAAAGTTATATAAATACAGTAATATTAACACTAAGAGGAAGATAACAATTAGAAGAAGTAGTGGATACGTTGAAATACAGCGGTTAAAAAGGTATCTTCTTAGATTAGAAAGTTATTGCAGCAATATTGGATACACTGGGTTAGTATTCCAGAGATAGTTGCTTTTCTGTATGCCAGCAATAGGTAGTTGTAAAGTGAAAAAAAAAAAAAATCGAGGCAAAAGAAGAAATAATAAAGCTACCCTAAGAAGTCAGTGAAAACAAACCCAGAATGACAGCCACACAGCGAGCTTTGGATTCACTTGCTTAGAGGAAAAGAAGTGGCCTTTGAGAAGAATGTTGCCAAGGGGAAGGGACTAGATTATGTGTGTGGATGATTTATGTAGAAAAGGGTAGATATCAATGGACATGATGAATACCTCCAACAATAATGAGAATTAGGAGGAAATGAAAGCCCCAAAGTGACATCCAGGTGTGAGGCTGACTGAAATGTGCATGATAGGTGAGTCATAGAGCCCCAGTCTATAAAGGAAGAAGGACACTTTGCGTAACAGTAGAGTTCCCCATAGCAATCAGTATGACCAGTTAGTGAGGAGTTAGTGAGCTACATACTTCAGAATGAGAAAGAGTCGATTGAAAGCATTTGATTGAAAATGAGGAAGGTAACAAGCTAAAGAATTAAGAATGGACAAGGTGTTTGGATCTGGTTGGGGGTTCATCTACAGGGAGCAGAGTGATTGGATGAAGACCTTTCCTTTGCTAGTCTGTTTAGATTACACGATTGCTGACATCACCAATTTGATGTACTGATAAGGATGGAGTTTGTGTATCTCAAACAGGTTATGAGATGAAGAGTTTCATTTTTTCCTTTGTCTTTTAGAATGCCTCTTTTGCTTCTTCCTAATTCGAAACCAAGGGCTGCTGGAGGAACCCAGTGTTGGGTTGGTGGTGCTCAAAGTGGGGACCCCAGGTTCACAGCTTCAGCCTCACATAGGAAAGCGCAGAGATACATGGTCTTGGGTCCTAACCCTGATTTACTGATTCAGAAACACTCTGGTTAGGGCTCCTTTGGCATGTTTTAGCAGCCCTCCAGGAGAACTCAGCTGAGAATTATGGAATGTCCATTACTGTGAGGGGTGGGTAAAGCTTAGCTCAGTGGAGAAACACTTGACTTGGAAGTGTAAGGTCCATGTTTCCTAGTTCAAAACCATGATGACATCAACAAGAACCACTGTTCCTTAAAAAAAAAAAAAAGAAAATACTTAATTACCTTGAAACCTGTTTCTTCCTTTGCTTAGGTCAGATGCTGAAACAAAAAGGGTTTTGGAAGACTTGGCTGAAAAGCTTAATGAAACCCAGAAACAAGATGTGGTGAGCATTCTTCTTCTATAAAGTTTTATTCATAAGCTGAGTGGTGGTTCAGACATGTAATCCTAGCAGCTGGGAGGCTGGGGCAGAGGCTCACAGGTTTGAAGCCAGCCTGGGTAGTGTTCCTGGGTTAGAATAGTCTGAATGCCTAGCATGACGCTATTGCCCCCTCAAAAAAAAAACAAAAAAATCCTAACCCCCCAAACTCCCAAACCTAACTTTATTTCCACTTGTAGAGAAATGGGTACATGGCGGCCAGACTGGCCAGAATCTAATGATACTTTTTTTTTTTTTTTTTTAATATTTGAAGAAGAACCTTTAATGAATTTTTAGTGGAAAAATGGAACAGGGGTTTTTTGTGATGTCCCTGTCATTCTGCCTTATCATCCTAAGTAATGGCTTGTTTTATTTTGTATTTAACAATGATAAAAATGAAAATTAAAATGTCATGTTTTTATTGAACTAGAAACTGAAGCTAGGCCCCTTGCACACACGTAGCTGATGGGTGGCTTGGTCTTCATAATGGGGTGCCTGGCGAGTAGAGGGCGAGGGCCCTGTTTCTAACATGGACTCTATTGCCTGCCTGGCCTGGTTTCAGGGCATGAAGAGATGCCCAGTCCTGATGTGACTTGATATGCTGGTGAAGGTTGGTATGGGGGTGGGGAAACTCTCCTTTTCTGGGGACAGGGAGGAGAGAATCTAATGATACTTAGCAGAATAACTTTTTAAGTACAATATGTGATTTGGTCAAAAAATATGTTCTTGTACCTTTTATAGAATGTTCTGGTATTTAATGAATTTAAGTTTGAAATCTCATAATAGTCGTAGATAGCAGAATTAACTTCTCAAATTGAAATGATAGAATTGTTAATGAGAGCTTGAGAGGAAGGTGGTGAGAAGTGGCTTCTCCACAGCTTTGGTTTGGTAGTGGAGAAGCATTTGGTAGATGCTTCGTGTAGTGCTGTGCAGCACTTGCTGTTAGCTGTGCTCAGAGTGGCTCTGCGGCTCTCGTCACTGCTGCCATGGGGCATCCTTGTTCACTGTGACTGTTAGTCATCTCTGTCAGCGTGACTGGATTTAGACGCTCCTGAAGAACTGGGGCACACACTGCTGAGCCTGTGAGGGCTGTTCCCGGAGCATTAGCTGCAGGGAGAGCCCTTCCCTGAATGTTGGTGATGCTGGGGCTTAGATGTAGTGAAAGGGGAGAAAGGAGGAAGGCAGCCAAGCTCCAGGTCTCTCCCCTCTCTGTTTCTTGACTGCCATGATGGGAGCTGGTCTGCTGTGCCACCATATTTCGTGATCTACTGAACCTTCTGAAAGCGCGGCAAGTCCTCCCTTAAACCGCTCTGTTAGATAAGAAACGTAATAGGCCCTTTTGTTTGATATGGTGAGCTTTTTTTTTTTCTCTAGACAGTTTTTCTGTGTAGTCTGACTGTCCTGGACTCATTCTGTAGACCAGGCTGGCCTCTACCAACTGAGATCCACCTGCCTCTGCCTCTCGAGTGCTGGGATTAAAGGTGTGCGCCACCACACCCAGCGATATGCTGACATTTTAAAATTTCCTAATGACCAAGTTTTATTGTTCATGTGTTAATTTTTTAATCAAATCTTTATCTTTGAATCTAGTCTAGCTTGGGATACATATTTAGACCCAGTTTCAAAACATCAGACAAAACAAATCAGTTTTTAAAATTCTTTTAAGATTTATGTAATCAATATTTATACAGCATTCCACCTGCACACTGGAGGAGTTCACCAGTCTCGCTATAGATAGTCATGAGCCACCATGTGGTTGCTGGGAATTGAACTCAGGACCTCTGGAAGAACAGGTTAAGTGTTCTTAACCTCTTACCCAGGTATTAGAGAACAGGAGAAGATAGGAGGCTCATTGAGACTTACTAGCCAAAGAAACTGAATGTTCCATGCTCTATAAGAGACTCTGTCTCAAGGGGAAAGGTGGAGAAGCCATAGAGGGGGCCATCTAACAGTTTCTTCTGGCCACCGCCTCTGTATGCACAGGGATATACACACACCCTTAAACATAGATGTACACTCACAAATACTGATCGACACATACACAGAGACAGAGAGATGCCATATATTTGGAAATATGCAGTTTCAAAAGCAAAATATATTTTGAATGACTTTTAAAACATTATTTTAAGGATATTAAATTTTAAAAGTTTGATAGTATTGAAATTAATTTTATATTTTTCATTTTAAAAATGTATTTCTTAATATGTAAAATCAGAGATGGAACTTATGAAGTATATTTTATAAATATTGAATGACACTAATGTATAAAGTTTATTCATATGCAAGGGTTAATTATCATTCTCTATGCTAAAATTGTCTAAAATTCTATTATCCACATAAGTGATCTTTGCCTACTAAAACAAAAACAAAAACAAAACAAAACAAAAAAAGCCAAATCATTTTTCCTCCTGCTTCAGGGTCTGTTTTTTTTTTTTTTTTTTTTTTGAGAAAAATATTAATAGAAAATTTTACTAAAGTGTTAACAAACTTGTCAACTCCAGGAACAATTTTTTCACTTTCCACACTTTGTTTTTCTAAGATAAGAAAAGTTAATAGATTTTTTTTTCCTCCTGGAATATTTTATTGAAATTTAGCTTTCTAGTTTAAGCACACTTCATTTCTTGAGTTGTGATTACAGTCCCCTATCGAGTTCATCTTGGAGAATGTATGCCATCACTAGCTGCATGTGTCAAGAGATGGACGTCTTCTGTCTTCAAAGAGATGACACAGTGATGGCTCTAGTGAAATGTGCCCACTTCAACTTCAGGAAGGCTTCGTATCCCCCACCTTTCTTCAGTGGTGTTAGTTTCTTTGTGAAGAGCCATGGGGAAATGAAGACTTACTAACTGTCTTCTGTTGTGGTAAACAGACTCTTTGCTGTTAAAACTCAGGAGTGTGTATGTGACCTGGATAGGGGACACTTACGTTTTCATGTGAAGTCCTAGATGTTTTTTTCCAGGTGTGTCACGTCACCATGAATTTAAGTTGTACCAATTTAAAATGTTCAAAACAGCAAGTACTTCAATCACCGGTAATTTCTGGGGCTGGTGAGATGGCCCAGTGGTTACAAGTATTTGCCATGCAAGCCTGAGTTCCATCCCGAACCCACTAAGACAGAGAACGAACTCTGGAAGGTTGACTTCTGACCTCCATGGTGCATCAGGGTCTGCCCATGTACACACACAGAGACATGCACGCACGTGCACACAGATGTATATACAATGACACAAATACAAATAAAAGTAAGTCTTTTAAAAAGAAAAGGTAAGGCTGATGGCTTCTAAGAACACACAAATTTAACCTACAGCCTCCATTTATACATACAAGCAAATAACAATAATAATAATGATAATAATAATAATAATAATAATAAGTGAAACTCTTCTGGGGGATGTACTGATTTCTTAGCTAAGTGAACAATTATGCAGCAAGAAATTATATGTCATTGTCTGTTTGACAGTAGCTAACTGAGGTGAGTGTAGCCATTTATAATGTGGCCCTCTTCAACTTACTAAATGATCATCCAGCTCTTTGTGTAAATTCTAGAATGGAACCTGTCATTTGATAAGACTTCTGAAGCTTTGCCATGTTCTTTAAGGTTTTTAAGAATTATAGTTAACATCTAGAAAGGTTTATGTACCATTGTGTGTTTTGGTGAATTACCACAGGTAAACATGTCCTTTTTCTACCTTCCACATCTGGACATGGCACATTTGCCATGTCCTTAGAAAGATCCTATTGTCTCTTCCCATCCCCCGCTCCTCAGTCCTTTCTAGGGTCACTGCTGTTGCACTTTTCATGGTATAAGTTAACACTTCCTGTTACACACTCTTATCTAAGCGGAATATACAGGCCATTCCTTGTTGTGTCTGACCCCTTTTGCTGTTCATTACTTTTGTGCTGGTTCTGGGCATTGGTTCAGGCTCTTGTACTGTTCACATTTGTCTTCAGCACTGCATGGATGTATTGCAATATATTTTTTAACATTCCATGTGATGCACACTTGAGTTATTTCAGAGTTTGGGCTGTTATGGACAGATGTCATAGCTATTGTTACTTTCTTGCACATGGCTGTGCATTTCTTTTTTAAAGATTATTTATTTATTATGCATACAGTGTTCTGCCTGCATGTTTCCCAGCAGACCAGATGAAGGCACCAGATCTTATTATAGATGGTCAGGAGCCACCATGTGGTTGCTGGGAATTGAACTCAGGACCTTTGGAAGAACAGTCAGTGCTCTAAGCCATCTCTCCAGCCCCATGTCCATGCATTTCTGGTGTTACATACATAGGAGGGAGTGCATTCACTAGGTACTTTAAGGTTTAACGGACACCAGTAAATAGATTTCTGAGCCGGTGGCGCTGACTCATCCCCCACCATGGTCTGGTGATTCGAGTGGCCCTTCATGCTTCCCAGCACTCGCCAGCTCCATCTTATAACTAGGAGTCATGTTGTCTTAGCATGGGTTGCGTTTGCATTTTCACAATTACTAATGATCTCCTTGGATGTTCATGGGCTGTTGGAGACTTTTATTTATGAAATACCAAATTGTTTTTCTTTTTTTCTCTGTTTTTTTGTCTTTGTTATTTTGCGGGTCTCTTACTGAACCTGGAGTTCACCGTTTTTGCTTATTTTGGCAGCCCTCAGGCCCCAGTGGTACTCTTGTCTATTTTCCCTCAGGGCCACACCTGGCTTTTTTTGTATGGGTTTTGGGAAATTAGAACTCATGCTTGCTTATTCATTAAGTGCTTTTCTCACTGACCCGTCTCCCCAGTCCCTATAGACAGGTTGTACCCTGCACTCAGATATCTCCTGTATTCTGCTGAGGTTCTCATACCTGAGTGAACCATGATTGGATCCACTTACACCACTACGCTGTTCTTTTTGAAGTTATTTCATAGTTGTTGGGTTGAATTTGGAATTTGTTAATACCAACTTTGGCTCTGCACACTACTTTTTCTTACGT